AAGAACTTATTTTTTTTTTTTTTTTTTTTTGGATAACCAAAAAGAAAAGTGTCACAATAGAGAGAGGAAAATACTACAACGTACACAACAGTCAACGTCTCTGGCATTGCCCCAAATTTCTTATTAGCAATTGGACTTGCAAACGAAAATGGATCAGCTATTGAGGTCATCTTATTTAGGGGCAACTGTACATATAGTTATTATTAGGGATGCTATTTAGAGATTAGTCGGTACTTATTTTATCTTAAAATTTTAAACAAAAAATTTTAACGTCAAAATAACTCCGAATATTTTTGTCCTGAAAATTTGAATTAAAAAATTAAAATTTAGGATGCACTGGCTAAAGTAAAGTGGCTATCCGGTGTCATTTCTACTCTTATATTTTGCTAGATCCACCTCTGGTCTACTTTTGAATGTGGCCACTTGGAATCTAATTTGGAAAAAAGAAATGGCCAACTTGTGAATACAAGGCCACAAAATTGGCCACACTGTGTCAATAACACGTGGATCGGATTGATACAAGGCAAGACCGACCTAGTTGACCCGGCCCACAAGGAAGAGGTTTACGTCAATTGCCAAAATAGTTGAACATTTTTAGGGTTTTAGACAATCTCGAGATTAATTCTTCACCAAGATTTCCAGGTTCATCCTCAAATTTCTCATTTATTTTATTTTTATTTATTTATTTAATTTAGTTTTGCTTCTTTCACTGAAATCGTGTTCCCTTAATAACGAGATACTATTCAGTTATCTTTTTTTCTTGTATATTTTTTCCTTTTTAGTTACAAGCTGATTGTGCTATGTAAAATCTTAATCGAAACTATGGAGAAAAGCAAAGNGAAGCTGAAAACTTCGAATTTGATTCACCCGCTCACCCTTATGGAAGAAATGAGTATATATGCATTATACATAGACACACTGCGCATCCGTAATCTATGATTGGTTTTTGTTTACTTAACGTTGAATTATCTTAGTATTGATGCGATACTTTGATTGAGGATCGATATTGTTTTGGATCAGTGTACTACTGCTGTACTGCATTTGCCTATACGCTTAGACTAAGGTTCGGTTGCAGTACCTAAGTAGACATTGGAAGTGCTTGTGTATTATATAGATAAAAAATGTTAGGGCAAGTACTTGCCCGAGCTATTTACTTGTGTCTTTCTTTGTGGCTCATGATTTCCTTTCGGTATCTGATGAGGAGGAATTGAAGGTCACAACCTGCTGATGGATAAAAGAGAGACTAGTCAATCTTTCGTTTCCCTTGAATTGTAATTTTTTTTATGGCAAAGGTCACCTAATGTTGAAACATCTTTGCATATGTTGATATAAACATTATTAGTCAGGAAAAGATCGAGCGGAGAAATGTTATAGAGCGAAGGCAGTAAATTACTATGTCCTTGTGGACTTACCTCCAGCTTGAGTTCAAGTTTGGTTTTTTTAGACCTTCGCTTAGTTATTAAAAATATGATACCGCCAAATTGTTTTCATTTTTTATTGCTACATAGGTGTTGAGGCAGAGGGAAGGGTATGTCCTGAAATTTTCAGTTATACATTTTTTAAGAAAAAGAACTTGCTTACTTAAATACGATAGTCTATGACTTATTGGTCATCTTGATTCTTTAATTATGCAATTTACTCTTTACGTGCATCAAAAACTAAGAAAGGAGAATGAAGAAAGCCTTAGTCACATTTCATGGACGTGATTTCTATTTTTATCTCACCAGATGTCTTGAATTTTCAAACATTCCCAAGTCAGCGCTTTTCTGCATCTTATTGCAGGGGAAAAAGCAAAATAACAAGTGTAGGTTAATTCCTTCTGAGAAGATGGCTGGATTTCCAGGATACGGTGCCCTTGCCCCCAAGACTAAGAATCTGGTTATGGCCGGAGGTTTGTCAGCATTTGTTTTTGGTGTGTATTACTATACTATGAGAGCTGTTGGAGGCTCAGATGAACTTCAGGTAGCCATTGATAAGTTTGAAGAGGCAAAACACAACAGTGAGTCTGAAGCAAGTTTGGCACCCAAGTCCTGATTGTGTCCAATATGAAGGTAATTTAGCAATTAGGAAGAAGTGTTGGATGTTTGTGAAACAGTGAAACAGGACTTCGATCATCTTATGCTTGTTGAATAACTTCTCCTGTTTCTCATGCTTTCCGGATATATATACTTTGCTGTAAAGATATCAAGATACTCTATTTCTTTTTAAGCTTTCTCATTGTGATAAATTTTTCTCAAATTTCTTCAGACTACATTCAGCATGTTTCTTTTATTTCCTTATCAAAAGGACACCAATTATCATTTCTTTGGAATGGGAATTGAGGGGGATTTGAAACCTATTTTTGTGTAGCAAAGGCCCTGGTTAATTAGATTCGACATGGCAATATGTTAAATGCAAGATGAGTAGGCAGCCTGATTTACCCTACAACAGTATTGACTATTGTGTTTCTTGCAACTGAACCTAGCTCTGGCGTACATCTGCATTTCATAATACGTTCAGATGTGACTTGTGAGAAGGTATAAACAAATTCATCTTTCAAAAGCAAGTCGTGTTAAGTCATTGCTCGTATATTTGGGGATCAAATTGATAAAAGCTGCATATCATGGTAAGATAGAAAATTATCTTTTTACTTTTCTTATTTTATTGCGAGCTAATTTGACTGGGCTTCAGAGCGTAATACAAATTAATGAAAACACTTGACGCAATGACACACAAGAATAACAAAGATTAAATAAGATTGCCTCTATGAACATGTCACTTTTTGAATCAAAACATGATCTATAGTCTAATCTGGAGATAACAAGCGAAGAAAATGCACGTTAAATTCTAACGCAGTCTGATTAGGAGACTAATTCCAACTAAGAAACGACCCAAAGGATTTGTCTCAAAAATAAGTATCGCATTTTGGCAAGTCATAAATGGAGAAACACTCCATGTTATAGTTTGCAAAGTGAATAATATTCACTATTTTTCATCTCAGCATACCATTTATGAAAACTAATAAGTAATCCAGAATTCAACACCCCCCCCCCCCCC